ATTTCTATATAAATAACTAAATAAAAACATTTTTGTATATTTTTTTTTTGGTTACATAGTAAATTTTTATTCACGAAAAATGTTTTGTTTTTTCTTGTTTAATAGAAAACTTTACAAAGAATATATAATATCGTAATTATAAAAATAAAGTAATATACATAGTAATCAGAATATATTTAAATATTAAATACCTGTACAATAGAATTGCCTTTGCAATTCCGTTTTCTTATTTTCTTTTTTTTTTTTGGCACAACATTGACTAAATATACAAAAATTTTGGTTTTTCTTTTTACGGCCGTATGAAAATATTTACAATGAGCTGGCAAAAAAAAATTGCTAAACATTTACATTACAGCTACACAGCTAGAGAGTGAGATGAAGCATGTGCTAGAGTGAGATGGCAACAATGCACTTTTGCCAAGACACAAAAATGCAAAGTACCAAAAAAAACAACACTAACAACAATTTGTATTTCTTATGCCTTGGTGCTTGGTCGAAAATATAAAAATTACTTCGTTTACATTTACAAGCATTCAGGGATAAGTGAGAAAGAGAGAGAGGGAGACAGAGGCAGGAAAAGAGAGAGAAAGATAGTGCGAATATGGCAGCAAACGGTCACGCAGTGACCAGACAAGCAATAACACTTGACGCACGTCCGGGCTACCCGTGTACGTGTTCCGGAGTAGCCACTCAGGTGGTTTGATGGTGCAACCTACCGAAAGAAGAAAAATTGGGAGAAAGTGGCACAGAGAGAGCAAGTGAGGTGTGCATGACTAGCAGTTGGTTGGAGCTATAGAAAAAAGAAAATACTTAATGTAAGAATATATTGTAGTAATAGCTACATAACAAATTTGAGCTTAATCGCTCATATGATTCTCGAGTTATGCTAGAAAAACTAAGATTTTTGGTCATATAAAGGAAATTGTAGTAGCTATAGATGAAAACTTAACGTTAGAGCTTGCAAAACTCAAATATCTATATCAAGGGATATATAAGTATATATACAATATAATAATATATATTATAAGTGGGTTTATATTAAATTTGAGCTTCATAGCTCATAAACTTCTTGAGTAATTCTCAAATATCAAAGTCTTATAATCGATATGTTAGCTGTATGAAGGAAATGGCTAAACTCGAAGACTTACAGACTTCACAAGTCTGCTTTATATGATCTCAAGTCCTAGAAATCTTTTCTGCTGCTAGTTACATATTGATGGGTATAACCGGTATACCCGCTTTGGCCATTTTGAATGGGCAGCTAGAGTGAAAAAAGGCTAGACAAAACTCTCCTGACGTGTTAAATTGAATTTCAGCGTTGTCCTTGCTTGAGCCTCGGGCGTCTGGTGGCTGCTCCTAAATGTTGCCACAGCTCCAGCGCCAGATCCAGTTGCTGCGCCCGCTGCACCCACACCCAGGAGCAGCTGCTCCTGCTGATGTGCTTGCAGCAATTGTCGCGCCAGCTGCGAAATGTCTCCACTGTAACCGTTGCTATGATCCAACTGGGCGGAGTTGCTGCCACTTGCTGATGTTGTTGCTGCCGTTAGAGATTGTCGCAGGAGATCGGGTAGATGCCACTGCTCCAGGAGCTCGGCGCCCAGCTGATGCGAGTGCTGGACAAGGCGTGTCAGCGTATAGAGTATGGCCTTAATGCTGCGCCGCTGGGCATCGCATTCGGCACGTGAGTCGTAGGACTTGTAGAATTCCGTTTGGTAAACGGACGTGATGAAATTTATGATGATGCCATTGGCCAAGTGGCTGTGGCACTTCTTGTTCAGCGACATGTTGTGCAGCATCCCAACGATTTGCTCCTGTGTTCAAACGATAAAAGGACACAAAATGTTGATGAGCAACACAGAGCGAAAAACACGTAAAAAAAAAAGTGAACGGAAAGAAGGAAAATGCTTACAACCAGCGGGCAGTCAATCTGATTCTGTATAGATGTGCATGTGTGTGTGTGTGTATGTGTGTGTGTATGTGTGTGTGCTTTCTGGGGCAAAGGCAAATGAAAAATCGTGGCCAAGATTGTGAAAAAATTGCTTTGCAAATGCACAAATAAATTTTACGAGCTCTCTACAAGGCAATGCTTTCAATAAAATTGGTGCAAAAAAAATATAGGGAAAAGTGAATGAGAGACGAACGAAACCAGGGCTGAACGCATGCCAAAATTTAAGCGCACTTAAATAGTTCCAAACGATGGCTTCCATTGAAACAATGGCAATAGAACAGAGTTGATTTATGAACTAGTCTGAAGGGGTTTAGATTGGCATTGATAAATGAACTGAGAAATGGGGCCGATAAATCTTAGTTAAAAAGCTTAAATGGAACTAGAAGTGGAACGCCTAACTTAATAGGAATTAGGAATTAGGAATAGCATAGAAATCCCTCAAAGATTCACAAGTGGAGCCAGAAAAGCAAACAAATATAATATATTTGCACTCAGCATAATTCCTGGTTCTATTTAAAATATACTAGTTCCACTATTCATTTACTAGTTCCATTTACTAGTTCTGTTCAACATACTAATATCACCGACTTGTTCCACCTACTAGTTCAACTAGTTTTGCTCACTAGTTCCACCTTCTGGTTCCACTCCCTACACGCAATCCTTTAACATACTGACTAGTTCTAATTACGATTTTAGGCCATCTGCTTCATTCACTAATCTCAAGCAATAGTTCCATTTACTGGTTCCACTCACTAGTTCCGCTTATTAGTTAGATATACAGATCTACTCTCTAGTTCAAATTCCAAATAATACTTCCACCTAGTAATCTCCACAGAGTAGTCTCAATTACTAGTTCCACTCACTAGTTCCACACACACACACACATGGACTCATCTTAGCTGCCAGCCCTATCTTTCGAGTATCGCATACTTACATAGAGAAAGACGCTGATGCCGCAGCTTTGATGCTCGAGCGTTGAAATCAACTTGAAGATGGCCTCGTTGGACATGATGGAATAGTGTGAGGTGACCTCCATCCGGCTGAGATTGTTGAGCGCGGCAGCGCAAAGCAACAGGGTCTGAGCGCAGCAGTCGGGCTGCAGCAGCGCTGCCAAGCCCGCAACCAGGGACTCGGCGCTATCCCTCAGTCCGGCCACGCGATGCTCCGGCCCGTGCCAGCTGGCCGTGATCTGGGCGAGCAGGGAGACGGCCTCGCGGCGCTCGATGGCACCGCGCTCCGCCGCGCTCTGGCCCACCTGGAGTATGTCCCTCACGATTTCAATGCCGCCACAGTTGCCCAGCTGGGCGATCGCCTGCGGGGCACAGCAGAGCGTGGCCAGAGCCCGCAGGGCCAGGGCGCGCACCGAGCTCAGCTTGTGATCGAGCACAATGACGAGCAGGGCTCGCACCGCCTCGTTCTGCACGAAGGCGTCGGAGAGCGAGGCGAAGCCGTCGTAGTCGATGTTCATCAGGGTGGCAATCATATTGATGTTCGCTCGCAGCAGCAGGTCGCAGCGGCTCTGCTCGACGCTCAGCACCAGGATGCGCGCCAGGCGCTCGAAGATCAGTCTCAGGGTGATCAACGTGTGCCGCTTCAGCAGCTGCACATCGTCCAGCAGCGACTCCAGATTGATGTAGTGCTGCCGCTCCAGCGAGTAGCGCGTGTCCCGGCTAACGGTGCGTATTTGCTCGAGATGCTGCTCGTAACGGCGCCGCTCGACGCGCGCATCGTTGAAGAAGATGCTGCGTCGCTCCAGCACACAGGTGAACTCGTCCAGGTGGACGAGCAGCTGTGTGGCACCGGCCAGTGCCTCGGGCAGCGTCGTCGCCTGCTGCCCGCCCAGGACGCGCTCGCAGCGCTCGAAGTGCGTCTGCAGATTCAGCGCCTGCTGCTGCAGCTGCCGCATCAGCTTGGCCACGGCGCTGGTGGTGATCGTGAAGTTCTTGTAGGCCTCCTGGGCAATGGACTTGTGCTGCAGCATGCACATCACCTCCGGCTCACAGCTCCAGCGCTGCTCGGAGCGCCAGCTGTGGACGGCCTGCAGCTTGAGCTTGTTGGACCTGCTGCGCGCCTTGGGCGTGCTGGTGCTGGCCGTGAAGCGGGAGAGTGCCACGTAGTTGCCGGCATCCTTCTTCAGAGTGAGGGTCTCGTCGAGATTGGACTCCTGCCCGCCGAAGGTAACGGTTTCGTTGTTGTACGGCGGCGGCGCCTCGCCCAGATAGATGGTCTCATTGTTGTAGGGCGGCGGTGGTGTCACTGGCGACATGAACTCGCCCAGCTCCTCCTCCTGCTCCTGCTCCTGCTCCAGCTGTTTCTCCTGCTCCTCCTCCGCCTGCTCCTGCTCCAGCTCCTGCTCCTTCGATTTGCTTTTGCTCATGCGTTTGCGTCTTCGCACAGCTGGACGTGGCGGCGTCGCCGGACTCATTGTCTTATCCGGGTCCACATCAGCCAGCTCGTCCAACTGCAGGCTATCTAGCTGCTCAAACAGGCGACTGCGACTTGCCTCCATGTCGTCGTCCTCCTGCTCTGGCTCATCCTGTTGCTGTTTGAAGGATATGCGACGCGTTACGCTGACCAGCGGCGAGTAGAAGGACGATTTGCCCACGCGCCGTATGACAGTGGGCGGCGTCGCTATCGAGCGTAACGATGTGGGCGAGGCAGTGGGCGTGCTTGCTGTGGCATCTGTCACAGCTGTGGCCGTCTGGCTATTGTGCTGCTCCTCGTTGTCCGAGAAGCCCGAATCCTGCAAGCAGAAACCAATTTTAGATATTAGCTTAGGGAGAACTGCGAAGGGGAACGATATGAAATGGAACAGGCATGGATAATAAACGGAATGTCTAATAGTTGCTCCATTATATGGTGACCTTATGAGAGCACACATGGAATGGAACGGAATGCTTGTTGAATATTGTGAGTCATATAGAAGACATGGAGGCAAATGAGAGGGGGAATGTTGGAATGAAACAAGAATGAGAAACATGACTTGAGTCAAGCTAAATATATTGAGAAACTTGTTAAAATTAAATAAGGGAATGCTGGAATGAAACAATTAATTGAGCAATTTGCAAAAGTCAAGATTTTTATTTATTTAAATGAAAACAGGAATTTAGGAAGAATGAGTGCTCAAATAGCTTGTATTCTAAGTGGAACGTTGGAATGAAACAACGTAAATTGTAGTAGTGCTGCAATTGCAGTAGAAACGTTGAGATGAACTGAAATTTATGATATCCCGGCAATGGAATAGATATTCAAATTTCAAAAGTTAAAGTTTCGCCTTAAAGTGTTCCACTGCCACACGTTCCATGCGGCCAGCTTTGGCTTTCTTTACGGAGTTTGGAGCACGCTCCGCTTGACTGGGCTGCCTGAATTAGTTTAGATAACGCACCTGACTGCGCAGACTGCCCGGACTGTCATGCTTGTGCCAGGAGAGCTTCGAGCTGTTCTGCTCATCGTCCACCTCCTGGATGCTGGACAAGTTGCCGGCGTGTGTGCCCAGATGGCGCTCCAGAGATGCGGGCTGCAGCTGCTGATGCTGTTGAAGCATCTGTCGCTGTTGTTGTTGTTGTTGCTGTTGTTGTTGGATGTTGTAATTGTAGTGGGAGTAGAGGCCGCCGCCCGTGAAGCTGCCGCTGCTGCTGCTGCCCAACTGTTGGCTATCGGAGCCCCACCAGACTTTGCTATAGCTGCGCTGGAATGCCATGGCCTGCCATAGAAAGAGAGAGAGCGGGAGAGAAAATGCAAATCAGTTCTGTGTGTCAATCAATTAATGAAATTGCCTCATTTGTGGGCAGCGCTTTAAATTTGATTAAGTTAAATGCAATTGACGCCTGCTTAATTTA